AGGTTGTTAAGTGAATATACAGTAACAGTCTGAGAATGCTAGATTTTAATACTTCAGGAATGTGTAAGATTGTATCATGGAGCTTATGTGTAGGTAATCAGTTTTGTAGAGTGTTCTAAATAGAAGCTGAATGCATTAAAGTAGCTGTCTGTAGGTTTCTGGCTCACAAGATCTGAAAAGTTGTGTCATCCTTGCCCTATATTGCCTTATGAACCAGCAGAAGCTTGGTTAATTGATCTGTGTCTTGAGCCACAACAATTTTTTGCAGACTTTAGCTGGCAAGAAACAGTAATATTCTCACACTCTTTACCATCATTATACTCATCTTAGTATGGTAGTACAATGTGACAAAATTATGTAACAATTGTGGGTTTGGAACTGCAACATTATAGAAGTTACAAAAAAATTAATTTATCAGAAATCAGACATGCAGTAATGATGGGGAACTTGAGATGCCTGGCTCAGATAAAAGGGGTTTGGGGTATGAGAGAAAAATACTCATCTATGGGCATGTTAAGATTTCTATCAGCAGATAAACCTGCCTAGGGTTGTTTTGGAAATTGAGATATCAGTTGGAGATATAAAGTTTGAGTTTTATGGCGTTGCAATTTTTAAAAGTATTAAAGTGAAGGGCTTAAGTGTCCTCTCCTTTTCTTTCTTTCTTTCTTTCTTTCTTTCTTTCTTTCTTTCTTTCTTTCTTTCTTTCTTTCTTTCTTCCTTTCTTTCTCTTTCTTTCTCTTTCTTTCTTTCTTTTTTAATTTCTTTCTTTCTTTCTGCTGCAAATTGAATCCTGAGCATGGAACGTATCTGTTAAGGCAGCAGTCTTGCATTCCACCTTCCTCATGTGTAAACCAACATGAGATAAGCTTAATTTAAAAAAAAATTCTGATCTTAAACTAACAGCTTTTTAAAATAATTAGATATATGTTTAGAAATGTCTAGTTTCTTAGAATATGCTAAAGTATTTTCAAGTAAATTAAGAAATTCACTATGCAAAATATTAAGGGACTCTACTAGATGATAAGTATACATAAACATCTCCTTTATCCCAAGAGATTCATCTTATTATTCCGTTTTCCCAGTTTTTAAAAAGTTGTTTACAGGGATACTTAATTTGCTTGGCTGGTTATGTTCTGCTTTCTCTAGATTATTTTGATTGTTTTTAATTTGGTTTTTAACTTGCTGGTAGCTACTCTCTAATCTTATATCAGTGCACAACACAGTATGGCCAGAGGCAGAATATAGAGTAACAGCCCATAAGGCTGGTGAGGTGATTCTGGCCTTTAAAGGAGAATACCCTCATAGTAAAAATGCAATATTAATAAATTAAATAATCAACAATTGGCAACCATTTTGTAACACCTGTTATCAACCACTAAAGAGATAGCTGCCACACTCTGCTTAATATTTACTTATTTATTTATTTATTTATTTATTTGTTTGTTTGTTTGTTTGTTTGTTTAATTTATACCCCGCCTATCTGGTCTACTTGACCTATATGCATACAGTTGGATGAGCTTTGCCTTGTAAGAGCAGAAAGGTGAGATTCAATTCTTTCTTTAAACAGATAACAAAAATTCTAAATTAGACTTGTTAATTCCTACTTAAGAGAGCTAAGAACACAATCATAATTAATAAATTCATGCTTAACAGGTGAGGGATTTCAGCTATTAGAAAAGATCAACCACAGAACAATTGGAGCTGGAAAAGAAAAAAACAGTATGCAAGATTATCCACTGAAAGTTTAGAACCACATTATTACTGGCTAAGGCATAAAATAATAGATGTTAGGTGAGTGATCCTAGAAATGGCAATCCATAATTTATGGTGTCATACACAAATGGGTCATATCTAGTCAATATGTGTCTAATCCCACAACTGGGATACTCCCAACAGGATCTCTGGATCTTAAAGAATGGGTGGACAACTCAGTGTCCTAACATACCCCTACTTTTATCTTACCACACTCCCAGCTGTATTGGATTCATATTGATTATAGCAGAATGAATGTAAGAACCCATATTTAAGCACACTTACTGAAGTAGCATAGTTCATCTTATTTCCATAGAGCTTTTTATATTATGTCTCCTCTGCACATAGGCCCAGCTCAGAATCTAGTCTGAGCACAAACTATGAACCAGATTGCGGTCTAATGCAAGAATGTTTTCATTTATCAAAGATATCATCAGCAACTATGTTTAGTTTATGACTAGAAGCAAAAGCTTCTTATCTCTCATATGCACAGAGGAGAAGTATACAGGTATTCTATGGTGGGGTATTATGGTTTCCCATCATGTATGAGCCATATACATGGTTTACTGTTACATATAAATTAATATTTAAGTGATGGTGGTGGTGTAATCAAAGGCTTGCTAAAACTAGTAAGAAAAGCAATATATTTCCTGAGTATCATCCTTGTAATTCCAATTGCTAAATTCTCATCACTCAATTAAACAAATAGATTCAGGTATCCCTTTACATATTGTTCTTCCTTCTCTTGCACAAACTATCTTGAGATATATTTTTCTACTATAATGCTGAATAGGAATTCAGTATTATAAACCATAATACTGTCATGCTTGGCATGGATTTTTGGAAGTAATCCTAAATTGAAAAATTATATTGTAAGATATTGCACTTTACTGTATTTGGAATAAAATGTACTTTGTTTAGGTTAAAAAGTCTTCCTATCAGTTCGACCCTCTGCCTCCCATTTTATACACGGGGGGGGGGAGCGCAACCTACAGCTTTCCAGATGTTGCTAGACTGTTAACTCCTATCATGCTGTACCATTACCGATGCTGGGCAGTGTTGACGGGAGCTGCAGTCCAGTGGACTCTGCGGGCTTACACTTTGACCACTTGACCATCTATATAATTCACATTTGTGGAAATATCTATTTTTGTCAAGTTAATTCATATTGTATCTTAATCTGGGTTGATGTTGGCATCACTGCTTACTTTCTGTTAAAGTAAATGTGTGCATTTTTCTAATTTAATGCACACAGCTCATATATTTTTTGTCAGAGTTGTGCTTCTGAAATACAGATTACATTTTCCCAGCACTTGACTGAAATATTCTTTATTTGCTCTCAGACACTACACAAATTATGCTTACTGCTGTGTACAACATAAATACAAGTCTGAAAGTAACTAGGATGATTCCAGAAACACAAGACTGATCTGACTCTCATGTCAGTACCACTTTGTGAACTTGTAAGTTTTAAGGTATTGATTTTCTGAGGATAATTGTCTGGATTCTGTACTCAGAGAACAATTCTCATGTGGGAATAATCCTGCAGCTACTGTTTATTGCTGCTGGACTCCCTGCCTTTTTGGTGTTTGTTATTCCTCTACATTTCTGAAGAAATGGATTATAATACACAAAAGCTCACAATAAAATAAATAAAATATCTTTAATGTTCAAAGGACTATATTTCTTACATGCTGAAACAGGCTAATATGATTAGGTCTTTGAAACTGCTTTTATTTTGTGAATTTTTAAAAAATATATGCATACACAAAAATATCTCAAGGTGCTGTGGTCCCTTAGGTAGAGGTTGTGAGATAAACATGGAATTATCACACACAAAAAAAAGAGTTTCAGAAGGAGCATAGAAAGTTTGCAATCTTAAAAGTTCATACATGACAACAAGCAGCATGGACCACAATGGGAAATACTTCTGAGAAAATATTTATTTATTTAAAGTATTTTTATCCTGCAGCTTACATAATTAAAAACACAATATTAAAAGTTTAAAACAGTAAATTATTAAAATATTTAAAAAGAATAACTTTATATTTAAAAAATGTTAGGTAAAAGCATTACAAGAAACAGACTTAGAAGCAACAAAATATAAAGTATCTCGTTTTATGTGTGTCCTAGACAGTCAGATACTAAGGAAAAGCCTACCTGAAGAGAAAGGTCTATCCATACTTGCAAAAGAACAGCAAAGATGGGGCCAGCCTGACCTTCTGTGGGAGGGAGTTCCAAAGTCTGGAAAAAGCAGCAGAGAAAAGGCCCTCTCCTGTCCTCACCAAACATAGCTGTGAAGGTGGTGGGACTTTTCTCATGAGACTACATTTACCACTTCTCTCAAACCTGGGGAAGAGTCACCACTGATGGAATTTCAGTTTGTTCAGTTTAGAACATGTCAGAATGTAAATGACCAGCATTAAGGAGAATCTTGGAATGTAAGTGACTGATTTATTATTACCCAAAGCAAAATTCTTAAAAAGGCATTTCAGTTAAATATGACATTTTTCTACAGCACCATTTCACCACCAACGTAATTTATTTCTTACACTTAAATTGTTCAGTAACTATAATTCTCTGGTACAGGTTGCATGTGCTACTTAAATGTATGAATAGTTAGTTACTCATCTGACATGAACAAACAACTCATGCACAAATGCAAATTTGCTTCACGATTTAATTTTTTCTGCTTTCTGTGTATCATAAACACTGTGTATCACACCCTCATACATTTTTGTTTCCCCTTCGTTCCTCTTCATTTGATATCCACAGTATTCAGACACCATAGGAACCTGTTCCAGGCAGTTTTTCTTGGCAACTGCGTTGTCTAACAAGCTAATTAAAATGAAACCCCTTTTTGAGCAGCTGTAGCTTCTCCCATAAAGTGACTTGAGTACTTTTAATACCACAAGCATGGTTTCTGACATTTATGCTTTTGACAGTATTGAGGTTCTTTGAATACCTTCTGTGTCTCTTACCCCAGCTTTCAGCTCCGTATTGCATATTCGTTTATTTGTTTGCCTGATTGTTTCGTGCTCCCTTATGTGCCAGGCGGGGACGTTGCCTCTGCGTACCGTGCACCTCGCGGTAGGGCACGCAGGCTGGAACGGTCAGTAGCACAGAGCGTGCCCGTAGTGTCTGTCAGACTGCTCGAGTGCCCTATAGGTGAAAGAGATGGGCGGGACTAAGAGGAGAGAGCCCAATAGGGGCGCTGTTCCTAGTACCTGTGTGGCTATAAAAGCTGCTGCGTGGTTCATTTCTCCTCGCTTGCACAGTATGGCCGGCGACATTAGCTAGCGGTCGCTCAACGCTTTTCTCTGTAACAGGGGAACACACGGAATACAAGGAACCGAACCGCATCGCCTGCACGCTTGCCTACTCCGCAGTAATTTTCTTCCATTTCCCTCCTTCCCCTACCCCAAAAAGACTTAACCCACCACCTTTCCCGCAACTGTTCTCTCTCTTTATATGTATATATATATGCCCATATATATGTATATATATACATATTTTCTCTGATAGCTTAATATAAGATTGTCACCCCGTCAAAGGCAAAACCTGCTTGGGACGGGTTGAGACCCAGTGGAGGCGCCCCGGCCTCGGACAGAAGCAACAGTAAAACCAGTTGTGGCTGTTGTAGGTGAGGAGAAGGAGGGCGGCGGCGGCGGCAGCGGCAGCAGCAGTAGTAGTGTGGTTGGGGGTGTCTGTCGTTTAATTTCTGTGGTTGTTGGTTTTGCGGAGTTGTCTCACCATGATGGAGGAGAACGGTGCACACTTCTTCGAAGGAACAGAGAAGCTCCTGGAGGTGTGGTTCGCCTGGCAACAGCCCTCGCCGCAGGAGCCGCACCAGAGCAAGGGGTCCGGCGACCTCCGCACCATTCCCAGGTTAGTTAGTTGGAAACGAATGGGTCGCATGAAGCTGCAAAGGGAAAGGTTTTTGTGTGTGTGTGTGGGGGGGAAGAACATGGGTGGGTTGGTTAGTGAAGCGGGTGAGGGGAAAGATATACTCCGCTGGTGGCGCACATGCCCTGGCAGGAGGACGGGCGTGACGCCGGCGCTGCTGGGCGGGAAGTAGGAGGCTAATGGCCGGTAAAGGGGAAGGGCATGGCGGCGACTCCATTCAGAGCGATGATCTGTGTATTTTCCCTAAGGGACGATGTGGGGCTTCCCTAAGCGGAGGGGAAGGATTGTGGCCACTTCCACCCCTCGTGTTGGCGGAGACTTGGGAGTGACGTGTTGGAGTTTCCGCCGGTTCTTTTCGGCTTTGGAAAGGGGGGGGCGGGTTTGCAGGCGGACGAACTGCCGTCGTTAACGGTCGCTATAACGTCCCTCGATGCACGCGGCCCTGGCTTTCGTGCACGACGGTTAGCGGCAGGCCTGGGTCCGCGTTCCAGACCTGCTGGAGATCTGAGAGGAAAGGTGGTTGGATTTGGAGGTGGGGAGGGGAGGGATTCAGAAGTGACCTTGTTACAGCGGGATGTGACCTTCCACATCGGCCCTCTTGAGTTAAGCCGAGCTTTCTCCGCGGCTACCCTCGGCACCACAGAGTGCTTCCTTGTGCGTCCCTGACGACGGAATATATTGCGAGAGAATGTCTCTGGCAGCTTTCTCTCTTCCGCCTCCCCCCCGCCTCTTTTTCTTTACCTCTAATAGTAAAGAGTTGTGGGAATTGGTCGCTGCTGTTGCATATACTGTAACCGCTATGGTGCTGGCTGTAGAAAGGCGGGTGAGGTGGTGCGGTGGTTTGGGCCTGCGTGAAACAGTGGCGAATTCCGGCAGTGTGTGGGAGGCCTGTGTAAAGTTTCCGTAGGGGCTTCGTCACGTGTAAATGGTTTGCCGTTGAATTGCCTGAGTTCCTCGGTGAGGAACGATTGTAAGGCTTATGCGAAGACCATTTGCACGTGACGGTGCACATGTGGAGCACCTCTACGGACAAGCTTTCCTGAAGGCTCCCATGTTTTTTTAATGGGTGGCGGGGTTCGCGGGCGCCTGTATTTTCTGTGTGGTTCCAGCTTGGCTTTTATACTCCTGATAACCTTCGGCCAATTTCTCTCTAGGCGCTGCCGTGTTTGTGCCCTGAGTTTGTCTTTGTGGAAGTCTCAGGCCCCGTCATTTCAGACATAGGTCTATCTCGCTCCATTAGCTGTCGGCAAGCTGTATGGGTTGTGTTAGTTTACTGAGGTAGGTGTTATGTTATGGCCCCCTTGTGTTAATTACTGTGAGGAGAAGTCGGGTGTAGGCAGCGGTCGGGGAATCTTTATTAGTGCCATTAGGTGCTTCTCGAATTCAGGCTTTGGTGCAGGGTAGGAAGAGGCCCCTCCTATCTTTTGAAAAATGTGGCTGGAACTGAGATAAACACGTGAGGCTTTTGGCTCAAACCCCAGATGAAGTGGCCTCTCCTTTCCCATTAGCAAGTACAAGCCAATGAGATTGCAGTGTCGTTTCAAGGGTTGGGCCTGGGGCTGTCATCCAGTGGGCATTTCAGGAATGTGGAGGAAAAGCCAGCTCAGCCAACAGAGTGGTGGGGGAAGGGCTGAGCTCTGTGCAGGCTTAAAGGTACATGTGTTTGCATTTTCCTTGGTTTGTGTGAAAAAGATACAAGCCCCTATGTTCTGTATGTAGATTTAGGAATAGGGACCTGTTAAGCATTAGTGAGGAAGGTTGAGGCAGAAGAGTTGAGTGGAGAGGTTATTTTTGTTAAGTCTTCTGAGTACTTTTGTTTTTGAATTTAATATTTAAAATGCAGTTTGAATTATTGTAATACCATAAGTGTGAAAAATGTGAAGCTTCAGGTTTTCACAGTGGAACAAGCTTTTTAAAGTATTAACCCTTAGCTGCTTCAAACAGCCAGAGGTCTAATAAATTGTGATAATATACCTTTACATTATAGTTTTGGGTTGCTTTCCAGAATTAATAAAATAAGATTTTTCATTGGGACAGAACAATCAAGAGCCCGCAACACAAGCAGAGTAGAAATACAGTGGGTGCATTCATGGGAAAGGAGCATATTTAAGAACTGTAGCTGCTCTAGAGAGCTTTTTAAAAAACTTTTAGGGCAAAGGTCTGAAAAGGGTTTTATTAAGATCATTGGCCAAGCACATTTTAGACAGTAATCTTACTGAGCTTCAGCACATTTAAAGTACAGTATTTACAAAATCCTAAGTGCATTTTCATACTGAAGGTATAAAGATCTTTAAGGCAATTGGGTGCATAAGAGAGTAAAGCAGAAGTGCATGTGCAGGGCAGCTTCTCAGTTTGTCTACTTATGTCAAGTGGACAAGTACTTGCAGTGACTTAGAATGAGGTACTCCTGGAAGGTTCCCAACACCAAAGGAACAGTTTTTGGTAGTTTTGACATCACATAGGGGGACCATCTAGCAGCTCCATGTACAATATCTAAATATATTTCTAAGTATATTGTTGAGATTATGAAGCTGGTTTCTTTATGTCTTACATTTTGGCTTGAATTAAAGGAAATGGGAGGGGAACACTATTAAAGAAGACATAAACGTACATTTCAGTATAGTTGAATTCTCTGTGTGACATCTTGAGAAGGATTGTTGTTGGTAGTACACATAACTCTTTGGAATTTGCCCTGCCATAGACTGTTCCACAACATCCCATCAGCATGTTAGGTATGCAGTCAAAACGTCAATAAACTAGACACAGTGAGTGAGCGTGCAAACAATTTGTAATCAGTGATTATATGAAAAAAGATGTTAGGGTTAAATTTGATAAGTCCTCTACTAAACAAAGGGGGAAAAAGAATGTCACTGAACTATTACTGCCTTAGTGTCAGGCCTTCCCATAAGTCTGGTGTCCAGAGCACATCCTGATACTTATTCTAATTTTTTTATTATTTTTTTATTTTTTTTTTGAGGATGCTGTGGACATTTGGAATCTTCTGAATGAAGAGAAATGATGTGTCATATTGTTAAGATAACAGTCTTATTCCAGTATATCTGAGAGCAAGTCCAGTTGCATTCAGTGGCCTGTAATCATAATCATTATCATAACCATCTTAGAAATACAGAGCCCGTTGTTTAGTAAATTACTTTAGAGTATGCCCATTAAATCAGTACAGACTTGGTGAGTCAGCTCTTCCATAGCTTCTGTTGAAATGGGCCTACTGTGTGACTTTAGCATAGTAAGGGACAGAGCAGACCTATTTGAATCAGTGTTTTTTGTAGAGTTGTTTCATAAGCCCCCATAGATTTAATGGGCTTATTCTTGTCCAGTGTAGTATACTAAGCAATAAAACTTTGGCCAGTGGGAATTATTCTTGAGTAGGCATGCATAGGACTGCATTGTGAATGGTTGGCAGGAATGGGGCTGTTCTGGCAAATAACATCTTTAGCTTTTTTTCTACTCAGCTGCTTTAGGTTCCATGCTGGAATATTAGAAATATTAAATAAATAAATACTGTAGTAAACTTTTTTGAGAATGGAGGCAACTTCAGCCCGTCAAGTCATCTAGTCTCTTACCAGTGGCTGTGCTGGCTAGGACTGATGAATGGTAGGCTCTTTCATGTGCTGGTGAACAAACTATAGAACAAACTATAACCAATTATTATGTAGAGCAAGGTATAAAGAGGCAAATGGTAGGGTGAATTTGCTCTAAATCAAAAACATTGAATTTGTTGACTATTTTAATAAAATCAATTTTTAAAATTAAAATTGTAATTACAATTATGATTTAAATAAATTTGATTTTTTAAAATCATTTATTTTTATTCACCCTGGCAAATGGTCCCTCAGCATTCTGTTTCTGAGTGGGTTGGGATGAGTGAACAAAAATTTCCTGCTTTGGTGAATGACCTGCTTTGTCACATGGCTAGTTGAGCTTCTTGCTGTGTTCTTCTCCTTAAATAGTTTGTCAGCTCGAGGTTATGTTCTACAAGTTAAGTCATTGCTTGCATCAAGTGCTCTCCTGCTGGTTGCAATAAAATTTGTTGGTTGATTGTCAAAATTTAAAATCAGTACAGTGGTGCCCTGCTTAACGATTACCCCACTTGACGATGAATCTGCTTCACGACGATGTTTTTGCTATCGCTATTGCGATCGCAACACAATGTTTTAATGGACAAAATCCACTTTGCGACAATCGGTTCCCTGCTTCAGGAACTGATTCTTCGCATTACAACGATCAATACAGCTGATCGTCAGGTTTTCAAAATGGCTGCCGGCTGGTCAAAATGGCTCCCCGCTGTGTTCAGGACGGATTTTCCGCTGCACAGTCATCGGAAAATGGCCGCCCTACGGAGGATCTTTGCTGGACGCTGAGGTATTTCACCCATTGGAACACATTGAACTGGTTTTCAGTGCATTTCAATGGGCTTTTTTATTTCGCCTGACGAGACTTTCGCTCTACAGCGATTTCGCTTGGAACGGATTATCCTCGTCAAACAAGGCACCACTGTACTTTAATGAAGTATTGAGCTTCTGACTTAACACTCTGGCTTAGAATAGTAAAGCATACAGCAAACTGCATGATCAATCACAAAACAGTTTATACATCTATTGCGTTCATATCTTTACTTTTCCCCAAGTAGGCTGATGTGTGGTATATATGTTCTCTCTACACAAGTATTTTATCACAATCATCTTTGCAGTAGCTGTGGTTGAGTCCAAGGTTACTCAGTTTCACTGTCTTTGTTCATCTAATTACTGAGGAAACTTGCAGTTTAATTATTGTAATGAAAAAGTATCCATCTGTGACCATATTTGTATTCTTTTTGTTAAATACTACATTCAGTGTTTTTTTTAAAAAAAAGATTTTTGTGCATACAAGTTTAGTCTGGAATCTGTTCAGTAGTCTAGTTTTCTGTTTTATGCTGTTGATTTTGCTAAATACAAATGGCTGAAGTCATTCTAGTTCCTGTACAC